AGACATAATCGAAATGTAGAAAGTAATTTAGCTGATATACCCCTAATTGAATATCTTTAAAAACAAAAAAAAATATTTTTATCAAAAATAAGAGACGATCAACATTCTAACCTAACCTTGATTAAGAAAAGAATTTGATCATGATGATTGTGTTAAAAGATGAATTGTTGTTTGAATTAATATATCACGTAAATGGGAGACGGCCACTTGCTCGCCGGACAGTTGCTCGCCGGACAGTTGCGCGCGGACACTTGCTCGCTAGGACATTTGCTCGCTAGGACATTTGCTCGCTAGGACATTTGCTCGCTAGGACACTTGCTCGTATGGATACTTGCTCGTGTGGACAGTTGCTCGTTAGGACAGTTGCTCGCTAGGACACTTGCTCTTGTGGACATTTACTCGCATGGACATTTACTCGTATGGACATTTACTCGTATCGACACTTGTTCGAATGAACACTTGTTCATCAAGGAAATGATTGATTAATTGTAAGCCATTAAATTCAGAACAAAATTGACAAGATCAATTAAAGCTTTATTAATAGCTGTTAATGATCATTAGCGCTATAATGATCAGTCTTCTTGAATTGTTATCATAGTATAAAAGTACAGTCCATCGGCACATATTGCATTAATACAAGAAAAAATCATGTCAGTTATACTTTCTACAACGTCGAAAAATGCTCCTCTACTCATCCACAATGGATTTTCTTACATCATTGATCGTCGAACTGATAAGAAGATATTGTGGAAGTGCGAATTTTCAAGAAAATTTCAATGTCATGGACGACTACACACTGATTTAAATAACATATTTATTCAAACAGTTGGTGATCATGAAAATCACACTGGAGATCCACGATCTGGAGTGATTAGACAATATTATGATCGATTACGAACAGAATCTCAACAAAACCAAACCAATCCACATAATATTTTAACTCAAGTTAATATTGGAGTCCAGGATGAAGTTCGTGTTAAAATAACTAGCAATGACAATTTGAAAAGAAACATTCGTCGTTGGCGACAAGAAGCTCATGCTGCACCGGTACCATCAAATATCGACTTCCCAGTTGTTCCAGATTTATATCATCGAACAACACGTGATACAATATTTCTTCGTAAAGATACTGGTCCTACTTCGGATAGAATGCTAATATTTTTTACTGATGAACAAAGAAATATTATGGAAAACTCTACGGTAAGCTTTCATGAAATATCTTTTATTTATACGACTTCTTTGTTCTCTAGAACTTCTTCATAGATGGAACGTTTAAAGTTGTTCCGGAAATATTCTTTCAACTCTTTGTAATTCATGCTAATTTTCGTGATCATATATTTCCAGTATTATTTGTTCTGTTACCTGGCAAAAGTCGTAAAATCTACGAGAAAATGTTCAACAACATTATTGCATTGATTCCAAGATGGTCGCCTGGACGCATCATGATGGACTTTGAGAAGGCGGCAATGAATGTTGTCGATGCCAGTTTTCCTTCAATTGAAATTAGTGGTTGTTTCTTCCACTTAACCCAAAGTGTTCAACGATTTTTACAGGTAAATTTTTCGATCCAATCAATAAAAATTGTATTTTTTTTGTCGAATTTTATCCAGAATCATGGTTTTAAACAAAAGTATGAAACAGATATTACATTTGCTGATAATATACATAAAATATTGGCTTTGGCATTCCTCGAACCAACCCAAGTTATTAATGGTTTTGAATCTTTGTGTTTGGAATTAGGTGAAGAATATCAAGAAATCCTTGATTATTTTGAAGATAATTACATAGGACGACTTCGTGGACGCTCAAGACGCCCAGCAACATTTCCTATTAATATTTGGAACATGAATGCACGTGTGAAGAATAATTTGCATAGAACTAACAACAACATAGAAGCATGGCATCGAAAATTGAACTGCAGCTTTCAATGCACACACCCAATTTTGTGGACATTTTTGAACAAGCTGATTAAAGAAGAAAACAATATATATTCAGATATAATTAATGCTATGTCTGGTCACCCACCACGAAAACGTAAACATGATTCCATGAACACACGGCTATACAATTTGGTTCACAATCCACATGTGGACGTCAATGATCAATTAAAATACATTGGACGATTGTTATCTATGTAGTTTTTTCTTTCTTATCATTCTGTTTGCTGTTTTTTTTATCTTGCTTTGCCAATAAATATTATGATATATCTCATTCATATATTTACTTCACGATATTTCTATGAATAAGTGTGTTGACGAGCAAATGTCCTAGCGAGCAAATGTCCTAGCGAGCAAATGTCCTAGCGAGCAACTGTCCACACGAGCAAGTATCCATACGAGCAACTGTCCCGCGAGCAACTGACCTAAACCCAGTTGATACAGGTATTACCTATGTATTATATAAATCTGCCATGGACTAAATACTCTTCAAGAGCCTGAAGCAGGTAATCGTCAATAAATTGTTTACAAGTTTTGAATCCTTGCAGATAAAAAATAATATGGCTGCAAATTAAATCTCATTTTATAGTTTTCATTTGATATTCATCGTAACATGTGAATTATGAAATGTAAAACTATTAGACTCTTAAAGGCAAGTTCAATGTTTCGTTATAGTGGAGCACGCATATACGTATATGTCTAACATCTTTGGGAAAAAAAAATGTGTTTCAGCGGTTTATTACTTGGAAAAATCCTCGTGATAGCAAATTATAAAAAACTTAGTAACGCCATGTAATAGTTTGAAAATATACAAAAGAGAATGAAAAAAAGTGTCCAAACGCCAGTCAACAAATGTTAAAATAAATTCACTAAATTCTTATGTTTAGATTTGATGCAAATCTAGTTGTGACATGTAAATGAGCTCACTAATGCTATGAAGTTTGTCACAAAAAAAACGAAATTACAGAAATAGTTCTGATCAGTTTGTAATATTTTCTGAGTTCCAGTAATATCTGTCTGGTATATTGTAGAAAACACTTATAAATGTTATGCGAAGTTGGAAGTTGCTCTGTAATATGTTCTGAAACGTATTAAAATGAGTTTTCAAGTTTTCCAGTTTTTTTAAAGTTCTATTTAAAACCTAAATATCTCGACAATTATATTATGTGTTGCAATCTTTGTCAGTTCTTACTACGAAAATTAGGAAGGTAGTGCAACTCAACGTATTTTTACGAACGAAAAAATTATAAAAATATGAGATAAATCATTTTATACTTTCGAACGAGTCTTTTTCCCTTGTGATCTGTACACCAAAATGAAATCAAACTTTCATGGCATATCGCTACTCAGTAATAAAATTAATGTAAAGTTTAACAGCATAAAAAGACAAAGAGGGAAAAGATTTTGTTCGGGGATATATGCCTTACAAGAGAACCTATTCATGATTTTCTTTCGTTTATATTTAATTGCTAAGGAAGAGTCAAAGAATCAATTTTAAAATGAAATGGCCAATTTAAAACTTGAAGTTGGTCTAGGACCAGTTGTTATTTATTTTTTTTACTATATATAGTGTAAGTTTTTGATCTTATTTTAGTCTAAAGAACTTCAAGAAGACCTAATAGTCTGTATTATATTATAAATAAATAACACTATATAATGATATAATAACTAATGGATATAGCTAGATTCTTAATTTAAAACATACATTTAACTTATATGGTCCTATTAGTGATATTCACCTATTTTACGTACTTTGTGGTGCCTGCTATTTAATAGATACTCACTCTAAAGTAGCTTCCAAGACGCACGTAAATGCAGCACCATAGTAGCTTCAATGCTAGCTATGATATAGGCTCAAATTACGAAAATTCATTTTGTCACCTGGCTGTTCACTGTGAGTCGTACGTAAAATAAAATGTGACAACTATTGCGGCCTTACTAACTTACTAAGCACAATGAAATCAACTCATCTCTTCCACACAATTCCAAAAAATCCTTTTAGAAACAAAAAAATATTTATTAACATTTTAATTAATGTCTGATTGTAACTCTAAAGTAATTAAAATATAAATATTAGCTTGTGAAAGATTTCAACGAACAGATCTCATTCATAAACTGTTTTGAAGAGATCTGTTCAACGAGAGCCGATGTAGTAGGAATACATATGATGTTTCTAACTAGTTTATTAAGAGATTGATATTCTTTTTGTTTCTTGAAAATATAATCAGTAACAAGGCTGTGCAAAATACTTGTACTCGAGAAACCCCATACTTATCCAGTTTTGGCAATTGGTTCAGTTTGTTTCTCGCAGATAGCCATCAATTTCTTGTAAAACTGATATTGCTTTTGAATTATCAACTTTTGTCTTGCTTGCATAAATGACTCGAGTCCAATTCATGATTCAGACTCACTCAGTCCTAAGCAGTAGCTCCCTGTGTGTGGATGTAAATTTGTTTATATCTGTTTCATCTTTATCCTAACATACACTCAAACTAGGGCCTAGGTTTGGATCTGATTAAGGAGAACATTGAAACCCACACCCACACCCTTCATGATTATGATAATCGTTATGTTTTTTGTCATAAACTTGTTCAGGATCATTGTATCGTTTTCTTCTTTATTTTGCTCTTTTCTTGCACTGCTGCTGTCGGTTGCTGCATGTACATTGTTTATTATTATTATCACCATCACCCAAAAATACTTCCATGCCTTCTTGTTGTATATGACTTACATCGGTATCAGTGAATACTTGCTTAAATATTTGACACATGTCAACATTGAAAACTGCAAATATGATTCGTTTAAAAGAGTTCCTGAACTCATCCGATTCTAAATATTGTCGAAACATAGTAGCCACATCGAATGGATCATTTTTGAAAACACCACAACCAAATGCTCCTAATACAAGACTATCGTGTTTGTTGG